CCAATAATGCCTGAAATGCTAGCAACGGTAATTTGAAATTTGAGAGTTAGTGTTACAAGCTGACATTCTTTTTACATGACTACCCAGATGCGTTTTGCAGTGCAGGGTAAATTATTCGCGGGTCTTTTTATCAGCAAATGAGTAAATAAATTAGTTTTTGTTTTGTTTTTGTTTTGATCTGCACGCCTAATACAGCAGTACCCTGCTGCACTATCAATAGTAACATATGCATAATAGGCTGTTCTCTTTTTTTTTTTTTCTCCTGTCGAATGTATTAGCTGTGGCAGAAAGATATTTTAAAGATGCATAGTTTAGCGAGAGCGTGTATTTTTTGTTCCCCATTTCCTCTTTAGATTCTGCCCAAATTTATTTCTATATCTGCCTTAATTGTTTTCCAAACTGTAGCCTTGTAATGCATTACAGTTCCCAAATCTTACTCCCACCCGCCCCCCTCCCCCCCAAGTTATCTTCTTTGCCTGTGCAAGCAGAACTAAAATTTAGTCCGTTAGAAGCCTCTTACTTTCTCTACAGTTCCCTCTTAAAAAAAAAAATCTCTTCTGTATTCTTTCATCTAATTTATCTTAAATTTCTTTTTCTTTTCTCCTAGCTCTCCTTGGAGTTTTCTACCATCTGTAGCAATGTGTACATAGCAGTTCATCTTTAGAGAATAGAAAAGGCTTCAGCTGTAGGTATAGATATCTTTTTTGGCAATGGGGAAACCCGTATGAGAGGAATGGGAGTGAAAACAGGTAAAATCCTGCTCTCCTTACTCATGTGAATAGTTCCATTAAATCAATGGGATTACTTCCCTGGGTAGAGCAAACAGGATTGGATCCTATTGATTATATTAAATGAATCCAGTCAGCCTGGTAATGGAATATACTGGAGACTGGATTTATTTGTTTTATCAAATTTATCTTTTAGTTTAGAAGAAACAAAATATTTGAATGCTTTCGGTATTTGTAAAAATGGATGATTATCTCCTTCAGCTGCAAGATGCAGTACTAGTCATAACACGCAGCAGGGTTTTACCTTCCCAGGCCTCCCTTGATCTGCTGCTTTGGAACTGCTTTTTAAAATCACTCTTCAGCTTTGAAGGAGAGCTGGCCCGGCTTATCTGCATAGATGAAACTTGCACTGAATGTGCCTGACGGCTCAGGGAGTTAAGCCCTGTGGCACAGTGACTTCAGTAGGAGTGGATGGCATCCAGGGTCCGTAGCAAGTGCTTGGCACCTGGCAGGACTGTCTCCAAATGAGCCCGTTTACAAAGAGGCTTCGATGTTTTTCTTCAGCGGCTTCATTCCTAATGCTGTTTTGTTGTTTCAGGTTACCGTCCTATTCCAACAGACCCTTACCTGGGAGGGAGTTCACCCTTGCCACCCCCTGTAAGTGACAGGATGAGAAAGAGGCGGGCTTTTGCTGATAAAGAGTTGGAGAACATTATGCTAGAGAGAGAGTATAAAGAGAGAGAGATGATGGAAGCTACACAAGCAGCTGCTCTTTTTCTCCCTAACCGCATGGTGCATGGAGCTGAATACAACTCGTATAAAACAATCTTCAACACTACTCAAGTTGATAGTCCAAACAAGGAGTTTTGCAATTTTTTACCAGCCTGCCTTGATCTAACCATGCAGTATTCAGGATCCAGCAACATGGAACTCATTTCTTCAAATGTCAGTGTAGCTACTACCTACAGGCAGTATCCCCTGTCTTCTAGGTTCTTAGTGTGGCCAAAATGCGGCCCCATTAGCGATGCTCTTCTATACCAGCAATGCCTGTTAAACGCTACTACTGTACAAGCTCTCAAGCCTGGAACAGGTTGGGATGCTAAGGTCTCACAGAGTCAGGACTGTCCAAACACTGAGAGTGATATTATGTCTCCAAAACTGGAAAATTCACTGGTTCTGACCCACACGCAAGACATTCAGCAGTCATGTAGTGAGATACCGTGCCTTCCTCAGGAAGCTCGTGAGAGGTCAGCTTTCTCTCCTCCAAAAAGGACTTTCTCTCAGATTTCTGATAAGGATTCCCTGGTTCTTCAGGAACAGGTATTAAGCAAAATCAGCAAAGACAGTGCCAAGGCCCCTCCACCACTCAAATACAATCCATTTCAGTCGCTGTTCCAGCAAACATTTCCTGACAGATCAGGAGCCGAATTAAGAACATCGTTCGTGAAAGAGACTTCTGAAGATGCTTCTAAGAAATACAGAGAGTGTGCCATTAAAGAGAACCAAAAATACAAGTTTACAATAGACAAATGCGCAAAAGACTTCTTTGGGGCCAAACAGGCCACGACAAAACTTGCAACAAGTGAGCCACTGTCATTTTCAGTTGAATCCATCCTTAAACGACCTTCTTCTGCAGTTGCTAGTGTCTCTCAATGAATAAAGTGTACCTTCAATGTAGAGTTTGTATGCTTTGCCTTCTCCAGAATTGCTACTGCCTTCCTTGTCTCATAAAAGGTTAGTAGAGGAATTTCTGCTGTAAATGGTAATTCTTTTTTTTTTTTAATCTCAAAATGATGGATATAAATATGCATGTTTTCTCTTCTGAAAAAACTAAATATATTTAATTTTTTAAAGTTGAAATTGCATGTACAGACTGTGAAGTGTTGTTATTTTAAGCAGCACTGTGTTCAATAAAACGAAATTACTTACAAGCACAGATGTATTCCTGATCTCTGTTTTGTCTCTACTACCTCACAGGCAAGTATGCCCCACTTTCAGAATATGCTTATACTTTTATCTGTCACTATCAATGTACTTACCAGCTATGCTGGTGCGGTAAGTGGTCATTTCTACTTTGAAGCTCCATTTTCTAAGAGAAGATGTAACAACAGTGCATGTTGGCTAGTGTGAATTTGCAAGACTTTTTTTATTAACTTAAGTGAGATTTGGATCAGATTCCAAATGCCTTTCCTGTTCTGAAGGGGAGTGCATGCTAGCGTAAACACTGGTTTATTCCACACCTCTCTATCAAAGCTTCTGTTCCTAAAGAAGAAGAGTTACTAGACTGCATATGAGGAAAAATGCTCTGGTGAGCTTTTGCATAAAAAGTCACCATTTTAAAAAAAAATCAGCTTTTGAATAAAAGGTCTGTGTGGTTTTATTTTTTTCCCTATCCCCTAGAATATTTCCCTTTTGAAAACATTTTGCCTTTAATCAGCAAGAGCCTGATGTTCTTATGTTGTGGTAATTGAAGTGTTCTTTAGGCTGTAAAAACGATGCACAGAATCATTATAATTACTGTTAATGAGAAATCAGGTTGTGATCTCTCCGTTTTGTAATTCTATGGCCTTTTGCAGGGATAGCAGAAATAAAGGCGATTAACCAGTAGAATTTACCTGAGAACCTGAAATGCCCTCAAGATTGTAGAAAAAGGTGTTACCATTATGACTGAGATTGAAGCTTTCTGGGTTTGTGATTTTGTAGGATTTTCCCTGTATGTTACTGCTAGTACACCTAGTGCTAACCAGTAATCCCTTGGTTACCTTCCTTCCTTTAGAAGTTTATCCTGCAGACAATGCTCAGCCAGTTGAAAGGAGATGTGGTTTTTCCTTAGTTTCTATTTTTTTCTAAGGACAATTTCTGTTTGGTGTTTGTGAGCAGAATGTAATATTTTCTGATTTTATTACACACACCACATGGCTTAAATTCTTAATTTGCTATGAATAAATCTGGACCTGTGATTTTCTGAATCTGCATGTATCTGAAAGTGTTCAGTGTTTCTGCTGTTAGTGATGTTGCTGAATAGCAGGACCCCTTTCATGGATGGGAGGAGTCGTTTGTTTTGGGTGCTTTTCTAAGGCATTTTGTTAAAGCAACAAACATGTTGGAGAAAAGACATTTTATGTAATGTGTAAATTTTTACATAACATATCTTACAAAGCCCATAAAGATTAATGTCAGGAATGTAAGCAAACATGTAATTTAAAAGAATGTTGGCCAGTAGCTAAAGTTTCACTTTCTAAAGAATTCATACTAACTAGATTTTGCTTAGCCGAAAATATGTTTCAAATGCAGTGAGATGCTTTTCAATTTTTCAAACTCTGTCCTTTATCCAGTTGCCATTAGAGGGAGTTCTAACTGACTGGAGAGCCGAACCTGCTTGTTAATCGGTTTAGCAGTCAGACCAAGATAAGCAGCTTTTACCCAGAGTAAATGGAGTGAAATTCTTCACATTTCATATTTGTTTGTTTTCACCACAGCTTCCTTCTTTGGCTTAGCTGAATATTAAATGCTAACAAGTGGTTTTAATTCAAGCAGAGTTTCCTTTGTTATTAAAAATACGATTTGTTTTGTTTTTTGAGCTGCAGGCATAAACTAGGATGACAGATAAAAGAGAGTTCAGCAACCTACGTAGTGAACCAATACTGGATACTGGAATTACTCCTGCATAAATATTTTTCTGCCTGACAATATGTGCATCTAACATTGTTCAATTTCACATCTGAAATAGTTTTCCAGGAAGTCATTTGTTTTTATTTATCTCTTAGAAGAAAGATCAGAAAAACCAAAACTCTCCAACAGACTGGTACCTCTTGACCTTTTAAAGAACCAGTTGAACCGAGCAAATTCAAAGTCTGAAGATATACCAAACACTAATATATACATACATTTATATATATAAAGCCAGCCTTATATACGTAACATATCTAAGTTTTTGATAGCAAATTGGGTATTGGGAAATTCCAGATTGGGTTCAGATCCCAATCATCAGGAAAAGAGTGACATTTCTATTACTCTCTGAAAAAATGTGTCCTTTGAGGTGAAACCTGGACAAACTGATTGCTTCACTTAACAAGTTAGTCTCACTGGAGTCAGCTTGGCCACCCTGTCCTGCTGTCACTTGCTCATGTCTTGCTTCAGTTCTCCTAGCTATTTATCCCTGTATTAAGTTTCCTTTCACTTCAGACCCTGGACCTTACCTCTCATGCATCTATAAGGCTTGTTGCATACAGCTAGTTTTTTCTTTTCCTTTGTTAACAGCGTGTATAAAGTTTGTTGTTCACGGAGTGGAGTATTAGTAGCTTGAGCAAGACAGTGTATACACAGACAGCATGAGATTTTCCTCACACATCTTCGCAGTGGAGGTATAGCACTCTTCACTTTTCCAGCGATGTGCTTGTCTAGAACAGAAGTAGTGACTGGTCCATGTGTGTTGGTGCAGCTGTGCAACTCATGGAAAAGAGGTGATTGCCCTGAAATGGTTTAACACTTATTGCTAGGCAGTGTTTCCTTGACAATAAGTCAGTTGGTTAAGTATCTTATGCTCTCTTATGCCCCCTGTTTCTTAAATACAGTTTTTGTGGCATTTGTTGGGGGTGTGGACGCCTGTATCTCCTGTACAGCACAACTAGTTTTTCCATGTGTGTGAGATGCACCTTTGTGCTGTGCTCGTGGACATCAGGTTGCACTTCCCCTTCCGACCTCAGTGTTTCCTCTGTGATGGTGGAACATGCTTGCTGCGAAAGTCAGCTCTAGGGTTGGGACAGGAGGTCAAGAACATGTGCTGTCTGTGGAGCACAAAATGGTCACGGAAAGGAGCACAAAGAACAATTGTTCACTTGGTCTGCAAAATAGTAAGCCTGGCTGACGGCGTTGTCAGAGACTACTTGTTGGAAGTGCAGGCCCTTCATATACATGCTGAGATAAAATTTTTAGTAGGTGTACAGCAGTGCATAGGAACTAGAGGAACTGTGAATTAATAGTACCCCCAGTAGTGCTTGGCTTATTACTAGGCCTGGTGACAAGGAGTGGGTGGTGGTGGGTTCACTTGGAGAAGGGATAGGCACAGGAGAGTTGACACAAGAGCTTTGGTAGTTTCCTGCTCAATAGGATTGAGTTTGCTGGCTTTCTCTCAGGTGCCAGCTTCTGGGAGGTGACTGCATCAGCACTGCTGGCTTGCCACAACACCTGCCTTAAAACTGTCATTTGTCTTTGACATCTTTGAATCAGCATATCCAGCTGCTGGGCTTGAGGTAGGTCAAGACATGGAGTTTGGTAGGATGGCTGGATAATCGGACACAAGTTATCCAGCTGATGTCAAGACTGAAATGCCTGTGAAATCATCAGCTGCATGCATTTGCATTCTGGCCTGAGAGCAAGACTTAGTCTTGTGGTGTCTGCTTGTCCTTCCACTATGACAAAGACTTCTCTGGGTATTGGAGTTTGAGTTCCTCATCTTCTTGGGATCATAAAAGCAAATTACTTCTTGGCCAGCTGTGAATGCACAAGTGCCTGTAGAGTTAAAGGCTCTGAATGTTGAACATCAGCCAGCTCCCAGTTGTTATTGTTCTGGAATTAGAGAATTTGACACTGTCTTCATTTCTTTATTTTAAGCTTAGAACAGGGAGGTGTGTTCTCATTTTGATTTGGCAGCTTGTTTGCACAATCAAGCCTTTCAGTTCCTGTAACCAACACTTTCAGTTTAGTTGACCTTGATGTGAAAGCTGGCACCAGGAGTCATTGCCCGACATGGATGAGTTTCTCACTGCATCACTAAGTTCCTTCTCTGAATTTCTGCCAGCTGAACAGCATCAAGTACACATAATACCTCCTTTAACTCAGAGAGTAGTGATCAGCCATTTTCTGTTTGCTTGCATTGAAACCAAGGCAAAGTGTGGCTTTTACAAGAAGGGCTGCTGGGTAAGCATGTGTGGGCAGGTGAAAACTGGTGGCAGGAATGTCAGCATGACTGGACAGAGATCAGTTGGAGTATGTGGGGAAGCATCCCTCTTCATAAATAATGAAAACATGAAAACTGCGGAAAATCCCAAACCCAAATCATTCAATATTGCCATTTTCCTCTCTTCCTGTCCCCAACACCAGCTCTTTGTGAACAAGCTACAGTGATTTTTCTGGCCAAAGGCAGGCCAGAAATCAGGTTCACAGGCTGCAGCCATCCATTTTGTTGTCATTTGGAGTTGGTAGCCAGAAGCCAGTGAGCCCTGCTCTTACAGTGACCCACAGCCTGCCATACAGGGTCTGATGCTGATGCTGCTCCATGGTCACAAACTGAGGTTGGGAGTCTACCCCTCACCCATAACTCAATGCTCCAAACTTAGCATGGATGTGAGGTCATTCAGGTCTCTGGGATGAAAACTCACTGTATAACGTGTATGTTAACACAGGACACACTGCTGTGCCTTGTTTTCACTGACAAAAAAGAGCTTACACAATGACAAACAGTAAAGAAAGCAGTGATTATTCATATTCAGTTATGTTGAAATATTATGCTGGAATAATTGGAAGAATGAAAAATTATGTTGGAAGAGGGCAGTAGACCTTTTCCTGATTTTTGTAAAAAGTAGTTACAGCTGAAATCCACCCCAGGAAAAGTGAAAAACCACACAGGCAAGCCTACTGATATCTACATCAACTGG